TTGAGTGATTACATCGATTCGGTCAGAAAACGATCATATATAGCAAGCATGCAACGTAGCTATCATATATAGCAGGTACACGCTGTCAACAAACAGCACGCATGGACACGATACAACCTTGCAACTGCGTATACTCGCAACGCGTACGTTCTGGTCCGCGCAAGCGTGGGTACGTGCGACGCTGTGGTCCGCGTAAGCTAGCGCCATGGAATCGTCGCTGTTCGAAGACCTTGTTTGTTTCTTGCAGAAAGAAGAGCTTGTGTTGAAGGCTTTGCGTGCCACGAATTTGAAAGCATGCTTGCGGACAGGGACAGGCACCAAAGGATACGAAGCAAATGCAGAGCGAGCCAAATATTATAGAATTTACAATAAGATTGAGAAGTCAGTAACGGCTGACCAAAAAGCTACTTTAATGGATTGGGAACGAAGGCTTTGCAGTGAGGCGGATGACATTGATTTTGCACGGTTGCTTGCCATATTTGCAAGCCGTGAAGAGGAGCTGAAGCAAATGAGAAAACCGAGCCTCGAAGCATGCTTCAACAGCAACCTGAGCAATGCAGACAAAGACTTAAAGTTTTGCCGAAATTTCTTCAAACGCAAAAAAAAAGTATGACAGATGAACAGCAAAAGGTTGTGGATGAATGGGAGGAGAAGATTTGTGGCGATGGTGCGGGGTTATGTCCTGCCATCGATGCAGATTTCACGCGTTTGCTGACTATACTGGAAAACCGCGAAGATGACTTGCGACAAATGCGAAAAACAAGTCTCGAAGCATGCTTCAACAGCAACCTGAGCAATGCAGACAAAGACTTAATTAAACTTTTGCCGAAATTTCTTCACACGCAAAAAAAAAGTATGACAGATGAACAGCAAAAGGTTGTGGATGAATGGGAGGAGAAGATTTGTGGCGATGGTGCGGGGTTATGTCCTGCCATCGAGGCAGATTTCGCACGTTTGCTTACTATACTGGAAAACCGTGAAGATGACTTGCGACAAATGCAAAAAACAAGTCTCGAAGCATGTTTGAACAGCAGCCTGAGCAATACAGACAAGGACTTGAGTTTTTGCCGAAATTTCTTGAGGCGCAAAAAAATAAATATGACAGATGAACAGCAAAAGGTTGTGGATGAATGGGAGGAGAAGATTTGTGGCGATGGTGCGGGGTTATGTCCTGCCATCGATGCAGATTTCACGCGTTTGCTTACTATACTGGAAAACCGTGAAGATGACTTGCGACAAATGGAAAAAACAAGTCTCGAAGCATGTTTCAACAGCAGCCTGAGCAATACAGACAAGGACTTAAACTTTTGCAAAAATTTCTTCAAGCGCAAAAAAGCAAGTATGACAGATGAACAGCAAAAGGTTGTGGATGAATGGGAGGAGATCATTTGTGCCGATGGGTGTGCAGATTTGGCTGTGCTGCGAACAAAGTATTGGATGACCAGATGCACCATTGTTGAAGAACCTGCATTTCAGAGTCGAGCAGCGAGAAATCGATTGCAACTGGTTCATGTCGAAGAAAGAAAGTCTGATTTTGTGGGCACAAGTAAACCTTTGTTTTCCTTACGGAGTCCAAACAGTCGACCGGGCGTGCCTGCCATTCTTTTCCGAGAGGTGCAAGTCGACGCGGCCGGACAAGTCCTCGGGCAAGACGGTCGGGAACTGCATTTCGCTGAATTTCTGGTGCAGCTCCGCGGCGAGCCCATGCAGGACGGTAAAGATACCGACAAAGGTGTTCGCATTTCCTTCCACTGTGAAGACATCGGCGACTTGCAAAGCACGCACTCGGAACTTTTTTGGGTGCTGAGCATGCAAGACATGCTCAAGGTAGCTCGTTTGCAGAGCGATTCACTACTACGGGTCGTTGCTCAACCACAGACGCAAGGCAGACAAGTCGCTCGTTGGCAAGTTTTCCTTTTCGCAGCCATCTCGAAACATGATATCGATGCATGGCGACAACGGAAAGCATGGCAAAGAAACAGCCCAGGGGACGAAAAGAAGAAGCGGGCAGCCGAGCAGATAGCGCTTGCGACGCCCAATAGCAAATTGACAAAGGTGGGAAAGGAACTCACATCCCCTGGGTATGATGTGTCGCCTATTCGTGGCCGCAAGTGATGCTGGATTCGCTAGCTGCGTGCGTCGTTGTGGACTGCGTAGCTGGTAAAATCAACATCCTCTGGGCATGATGTTTCGCCTCTTCGTGCCCGCAAGCGATGCTGGATTCGCTAGCTGCGTGCGTCGTTGTGGACTGCGTAGCTGATAAAATCAGGACGATGCGCTGATGTGACTGGTAAAACAAAGCCGTTCGGTGTCAACCCATAGGGGAAGCTCTTGCCTTGAGAATTTGTTTGTGTGTGTTTCATTCGAGTGTCTATCGCTCATGTCCACGGTGTGCTGGTCGATCGACTCGGTAGGTGACTGTTGGGTAGGTGTCATGGGTAGGTGCCATGGGTGGCTTATTACATGTCCCTCAGAAAAAATATCTTTGCACAGACTTGCGTTTGAGACATGGTGTGTCACGACATGTTGACTGTCTACACGCTGACGGCGCAGGATCAAGATTAACGATGTTTCATAGGACTTCACAACAAACAGATGTGTCCGTAAGACTTCACAAATAAACAGATGTGTCAGCTGTGTTTCTGCGCATACATGTGGATTGACATTACAGCTACGTAACGCGGTCACAACGGACAGCACAGTTACTATGTCGTACATGCAAGACGTACCAACTAACGCTCAGTGCTTATTGTCGAAGTACGTCGTTACGGACTGCTTGTACCTTTGCCATGGCGCTCGCCGCATACGACTGGCTGGTGTGGAAGGATAGGGCTGCAAGCTTTCTGCGGGCTCACCCTCGGGAAGTTGCGCTGCAACTCACTTGGGGTCAGCGACTGGTGGTTCCGGGAGCTCGTGAGGCATACGCAGTCGCAACCTATGAACGAGAGGCCAGTTTAATGTACTTGTTCATTGTGTTTTGCAAGGAACTTCTTTGTGTTTCTATTCCATTTTGGCTCAAGGACTTTCATTTGTGCGTATACATTTTTCGTTTTTGTCTGCTCAGCCAACAGTTTTCTTTGGACATCTGTAGCAGGCATTGACATTGATCAGTTGCGTTTTTCCTGTCGTGCAGATATTTTCAGAGTTTCATGTTTTTTCGTTTTGGATTCACAGACACCGGGCGGTCCCGGGCGGCATGGACGGAGCGACGATCTCGGTGTTATCACTAGAACAGTTGATTACTGCACTTCTCCTCATTGTCAACGAGTTGTGCCATCGATTTCGTATCCCTTTATCTTCAGCATCATCTGTACCATTACAAACTACACCTGATTTGGAAAATCTTTCAGGGTCACCCATCCCCGAACGTGGATCGTGTGGTGCAACGTGTCGCTGGTGTGATTTACCCTGTGGACGTGCAAAGCCTGGTCATACAGGGCATAGTTGCTATACACATCGGCATTGGCGTGATGGATAATTCCATGGATGTTTGGTCACTGGTACAGAGTTTTGAGGGTTCATGGGACACGAGTTCAGTGATTTCACCGCCGTTGCATTCCAGGCCGAAGTCTGCTCCATTGCAGCGTGCACCTCTACATCAAGGTCCTCGCCTGGTGTCTCCATTCCAAGTGTCTGCATTGCATCCGGTGGTCACGAGCACTATGGGGTGTTCGGGACAGTCTTCAGCTCAGCGACATCCAGGTATCCTGAGGGTTTCAGATTTAAACCAGGGGGGTAATGTCCCCCCCCCCCCATCCGTTTCCTGTTGATTCTATTCGCGTTGTACCTGGGGTTACTCCTTTGCAAATTCCCCCAGAAAATTTACCTGTGATTCGGAGCTGGACGACGTTGCAACAGAGAGTTGCGCTACCTCAGCCTCAAGGATGTTTGGGTTATTCAGAGTCAGTACCAGTTGATTTTGTGCCTAATAGGCCTTCTCCACAGTTACTGCATCCTCCCAGACGTCAATCAGGGGCTATTAGCAGAGTTCGTTTTTCCAGTGCTTCACCGGTGCTCTGTCAGATGTGGTTTGAATTGTTATCACAGCTGGGCCCACTATCCAGAATTTGGCAAGAGACGAGTATGTCACAGCATCAACGCATGCATTTGAACCGAATTTTGGACAATGTGGCACCTGGCACGGCTATGAAGTATATTTCCAGTTGCAAGTCCTTTTTCAAGACCTGCAAAGCGTTACAGGTGGATTTGATATCCCTTACTGAGGTTCAATTGGCAGACATTTTAATCACAATGTCACTGTCTAGATCTACATCTCATGGCAGTAGTTCTTGCAGTTCGGTCATCAAAGCGCTTCGATGGCTATTGAAATCAGCAGAGGTGGGTTGTTTACAGGTGGTGCATTCAGTTCTTATTGGAACCTTTCTGAACCAGAAGGTGCCCAGGGACAGGAAACAAGCCCCTCCTCTGCCTCTGTGGGCATTGGTGCAGTGGGAGCGTCGTGTGCTCATGTCCAACTGCACGGTATTGGAAACTATTTTACTGGGTACATTTTTATTGATGGCCTGGGGATCCCTTCGTTTCTCCGACGCGCAAAGGTTAGACCTCCAAAAGATCATCTATCACGATGGTACCATGAGAGGGGTGATATGGCGCTCAAAGACAGCAGTCAGCGGCATGCCCCTAGCAGTGGCGGCGGAGGGTTTCCTCAGCAAAGGCTCCCACAACTGGTTGTGGAAGTTTTTGACCGTTTTGGATACGGTATTGGCCAAATCAGGCCTCTCTGATGTTGATTTTCTTCTTCCACTGATGGACGAGGATGGACCAATTTATCCATTGCAACCGATGGATTATGCCACAGCGTTATTTTACTTACGGAAATTTTTGGGTTGCCCATGGAGTCAAAGACCAGATCCCTTGCAGCATTTGAAGTTAACCTTCACTTTGCACTCCCTCAAAGCGACGTTATTGTCGTGGGGACCGCAGCTGCATGAAAAGGTCACCCCGGAACAGCGTTTGTCTCAGGGACACCATTCGGATCCCAATAGCAGTTTGGACACATACTCACGTGACGTGGTGTGGACGTCCTTGACGTATCAGCGCAAGATGATACAAGAGGTTCAGAGTGGATGGCGTCCAGCCATTGCCCAACATCGGGGTAGTCAGGCTCCTATGGTCGAACCCAAGGTTGTTTTGGAGAAATTTGTCAAATCTCTCCCGCAGTTTGATTTTCAGTGGTTTCAATTCAATGCGTCCTCTGAGACACCAGCTCCAGATTTTTTGAAGTCATCGACCAGCAGTTCTGAGAGTTCATCGGATTCATCGTCGGATGACGAGGTTATGGAGCCTCGACCCAAGACTTCCAAGGTGAACGTGGTACCTTTGGATGTCGATGAAGTCCTGGTGGGACGATATCGATCAGTTGTGCATGCACTAGTGCGCGCCGGCGATGATGAAGATTGGCGTCCTCGGTGGCAAGGACAGCCTCTCAAACCTGCCTGTGGTAGGCAAATGCGTGGTGTGGAAGCCGAGATCTTGGATAGACTCGACTCGACTATGCCGTTCTGCCAGCATGCAGCATGCAGGAAGGTTTGGCACACTTGTCAGCTCCTGCAAGGATCTGGATAGATCCCATTCCAAGCGGTATGAAAAATTTTGCGCTTGGAGTTTTTGGCCCACGGGTCGGTGACCTGTTGGGTGCAGTCGGTCTTTCCCTGGTAGGGTTAACCGAGTAAGTCCATATTGGGCATTTTTTGCGTTATTTTCCCCTCTTTTTACTTAGGGAGGGATTCAGATTCTTGTACAATAGGGGATGGTATCCCCTAACATGTCAACGGTGTTGGCATCACATTTCAACCGGTGGTTGAATGGTTACTCACGGTGTGAGTTGAAATGACAGGTTGTCATGTTATATTCAACCGGTGGTTGACTATGGACTCACGGTGTGAGTACCACAATGACCGGTGGTCATTCAGCGTCTCAACCGGTGGTTGAGGTTATTAGCTCACGGTGTGAGTCTTACTTTGACCGGTGGTCAATTCATCATTTTTCAACCGGTGGTTGAAGCAGCACTCACGGTGTGAGTGACGTGCTATATCGTCATGGTTGCCGTCGGTGATGGCTCGAGTGAACCCGATAGGTCAACAATCAGTTGTGCAACAACATGCACTTATTTTAGGGGTTGCACTATGGAGTATCCACCCCTTTCATGGTTGGTCTAACGTCCAATGGCGCTGTCAAGATTTTATTTTGCAAGTTTTTGCTTTTCCCCTCAACATAAGGGATACTGTTTGTGGTTCGGGGATCATCAGATATTTTCTCCTTTGTCTACGTGGTGGTGCCATGGCGTCTGACAATTTGGAAGATGTTTTGATACAGAGTGGGGTGGACTCGGCCCTCACGAGCTCACTTATGATGGAGGGATAGTCCTGTCAATCGTTTCGCATGGCAGCAGCTGACATTCATGGATTTGAAGATGTTCTCCAGGAATGGTCGTCTTCTACTCCTTTGTCGGCATTCCAAAAGGCGTGCCTCCGTACGGCATTTCAGTCTCTCCAACCTCAACAAGGACCTAGTGCATCGGCTGTGTCAACCCCAACATTGAGCACTACCACGCCAGCCGGGTCTTGGGCAGAAGCCTTTCCTCCCAAATTGGAGAATGCCGTGTTGCAGGCGATGAAACAAAAATTCATGGCCAACTATCCATCGGAGTTGATCCATGCAGACCTTTTTCCATCGACCAGATTAGTGAGCTTGGTTCATGACCAGCTCTCCAAGAAGGTTTGGAAATGGGTGCCATGGAAGTATCGCATCTCTCTCACCAGGTCAGAGGAGATTTCTAGCAATCGAGCTCAGAAGATGCCAAAAATTGATCACCTGGGGTTACACTCCTTATTATTTGATGATCCTCCCTCCATCGACGTGTCCAACAACGCCATGGGGGTGAACTCGATTCGCAATATGCTCGAGGTTCATGATCGGGCCATTGCCTTGTGCCAAGGCGCTCACCTCGCCAATCTCAAGGCCTATACCCACAAATTCATCGGGTTTTTGACCGCCAAGTATGATGGAGATTTACGTAACCCCAGTGTATTGGAGGCTCAACATGCAGACCAAAAAATTTGGACGGTCATTGCCGAGCTCATGGAACGAGGATGGAACATGGATGATTGCTTGCATGAAATGACGAATTTACGTCATGACCTACCAAGTCTCCTTCAACCACGACCTCGCGTGTTCAAGCCACTCCCATCACCATCTTCTCAGACAGCTTCCCCTCGTGGTGATGGACCGAAAGGCAAAGGCCAAGGGAAGTCCAAGGGCAAGCAGAATTCCGGGAAATCCAAGGGCAAGGTCCAATGGCTCACGGAGATTCAACGGGATGGTGGTTTCAAGCAACTCTGCATGCGATATCAGGTGGGCAAGTGTCAGACTCCCAACTGTGGCTTTCAGCATTTGTGTGCGTACCCAGTTGATGGAAAAGCTTGTGGCAAAAACCATGGGGCGATGTCCCATTTTGCCACCCCGCACTGACTCCCCAAAGGGGATAGTGACCCAGGTTTCACCATGCATGATCCATTCAATGAGATTGACTCCGTGGAGACCCTCCCAGTGCATGAAGTGGACCCAGTTCAAGACTTTGCTCCACCTAGTGGTAGTTTTACCCGAGGCCGTTTGTCCCAACCCGAGCAGGCGAATGCGGAAACAGATATCACTGCCACCGTCCCCGTCACAGCGGAATCCTTGGTTTCCTCTACGTCATTTCCACCAACCATTTCAACTTCAATTTTAAAAACAGTTCCCTCAGGCAAATTTTTTCTCGATGTTTGTTCAGGTGTTACACGTCCGTTATCGACAGCTGTATTGGAGCATGGCCACTCAGTTCTTTCTTTTGATGTTTTATTGGATTCGTCTATGGATATTTTATCAGATGCGGCCTATGAGGATTTGTTGCGTGTCGCATCAAGTGGTCAGGTTGGTTATGGAGCGGCCAGCCCTTCCTGCTGTGAATATAGCAGACTCAAACTTCGAGATGATGATGGTCCCAAGGCTCTACGATCACCAGAGCACTTGTCCGGTCTGCCCAATCTCACACCCTGGGAACTGCAACGTGTACAAGAGAGCTTTATGATGCTCTCTCGCTGTGTCGAGGTCCTCACCCTGGTTTTTCAAGCAGGCGGGCACGTCCATCTTGAACAACCCTTGAACGCCATGTCATGGTTAGAGAAGGTAGTACGCCAATTTCTGCAATTGATTGGGGCTTCCTGTATCAACGTGGCAGCTTGCGCCTATGAGATGGATGTTTACAAAGCCTGGATGTTTGCCTCGAGTTTTACAGGTCTTCGACCATTAGGCTGCATTTGTCAACATCCCCCTAATTCTCATGTTCGCCTTCAAGGTCTCCGAGACGATTCTGGTGCTTTTGCCAGTCGGGCGACGGCACAATACCCACAGAAACTGGCACAATTATTTGCCAACCTCGTGGCCCCATTACTGGACACATCAGCGTTGGACCTACAATGGTCATCTTTGGATGCCCTCATGCCAACCAAGCACCTGTCAGAGTATCCATTTGCGCAAATCGATGGGGGTGGAGCTTTTTCCCACCCGGACTGGAGTCAGGATAATCGTCAAGAACACGACTGGTTCAAGATGCTCCGCACTTCGTGGATGAACAGGATCATCTCTGAGCGATTGGATAAGATCCTACTTGCGCATGTGGCGTCGGGCAACCCTTCACCTCCTTTTTCGATGGAAACTCTGACTCCATTCAAGGATGATCTGGAGAAATTCTTGGAGGCACATGGACATACACCAGATTGGTCAGTTCGACAACATCAACCAATACATCTTCATATTTTACATTCTTTACAAAAGATTATGCATGACGTCGATTTTACATTATTACCCAGTTTATTGGAAGGTGTTCGAACTGGTTTTTCCGAGGCAATTCCTCCGTCGGGTATTTTTCCACCCAAAGAACGTACGGATATAGAACCCGATCCATTGTCAGCTCACCTCTCCAACTGGCAGAGTGCTGAAGAAGATCTACCATTAACCCGAGAACTGGTTCAGGAAGAAATTGACAAGGGATGGGTTTTTTCATATCAAGGTTCTTTGGAAGAAGCACAACAAGAATATCCGGCCGGAGTTGCTATTGGAAAATTGGGAGTGGCTCGCTCCGATAGTCGAGCCCCCCGATTAGTTGTAGACTCCAGCGTATGCGGCCTCAACGGTCGGTGTATCATACCGGAGAGGTCCACCCTCCCGACTGCCAAGGAGGTGTTACGTAGCTACCCTCTACGTCAGTGTCAGAGGAATCTAATGGGCTTTTCTTTAGACGTTAAGGCTGCTCATAAAAGAATAGTTCTACATCCGGACGAATGCGGATTGGTAGGCTTTTCGTTAGAAGGACAGCTCTTCTTCTATAGAGTTACCCCATTTGGTGCAGTTTTCTCTGCCTTTTGGTGGGCGAGATTGGGTGAACTCCTTCTCCGTATATTTCACCACTTGATCTGGTTGAGTCACGCGGGATTTCTATATGTGGATGACTTCTTATTCTTTATGGAAGCCAACATGATGCCGCTGTCAGCCACATTGTTGTGTATTTTTTGCCAGCTTTTGGAAATTCCTATCAGCTGGAAGAAGACGGCCATGCACTCTTCCATTGACTATATTGGCTGGAAATTCAATTTCAATGCAGGTATCGTGACAATCCCCATTGAAAAGATCCTCAAACTCCGAGGATACATCGAACATCTTATTTCCCAGCCACGAACTACTCGCAAGTCTTTGGAGAAACTTATTGGCCTGGCCATGTGGCTTACTCAATTATTTCCCCTCATGCGGATCTGGATCCACTATTGGTACCACGACCTCTACACCATCCCGGCGACACATTTCAGTATTGATGCTGGTACATGGCCTCGCATTCATCAGTATTTAACACCTAATTTGACTTTTCATACAGCACCTTTGGGCTCCGCTATACCTATTTCAGGCAAGCTCATTGCAGTTCGACATCAAGCGGTATCCTCATTGGCGGATCTGACATCGTTACATATCAAAACGGATAACAGGATTTGGCTAAGGATTATCAATCCGAATTCCTCCAAACGCAAGCTTCGTCCTGATTCTCTTCGCATTTTGAAGTTATTTGAACATTGGCTGATGGGTGTTTCTCCATCTCGACCAATGAGAGCGAAGCCATACTGGAATGGCGTTGCGGCAGCCGATGCATGTGCATCGGGCTCCTATTGCCAAATTGGAGGTTTCATCCGTCATCCTTCAGGAGTTCAATTTTGGTTTTCTGAGAAATTTTCCCATGCTGATTTTGACATTTTGTCAATTCATTTAGACCCAAATATGCAACGAAGCATTGCTTCATTTGAAACTTTAGCCCAAATTGCGTTAGTTTGGCTGGTGGCCACATCTTTTCCTGGTTTTCGTATTCCCATTTGCGTGAAATCTTTGAGCGACAATACGGGAGCAGAGAGCGTGAGCAACAAATTATTCACTACGACTCATCCTCTATGTCTCTTTGTCGAGATCCTCACGTGCCTGGCTTCGACAACGGGTATTGAATTGGATGTGAGCCATATTCCTGGCGCGGACAATGTCATAGCGGATGATCTGAGCCGATGGGATTTTTCCACTCCCATTCCACATGATTTTCAACCAAGTGAAAGGATTCATCTTTCACTCAATCAATTATTTCGTTGTTCACCTCACCCAACATTGCATCCTCCTGATTCGAAACTCCTTTGGAAACTCCCACATCCTCTTGCGATGTGATCTGCTGGCATGGTTCTCACTTCTGGTTTGGGCGTGTTTGGGCGATAACCATTATACCAGATAGTTGTTGTTTGGGTTGTTGATGCCATCTGGTCAAATGGTTTCGATTGAAGTATGGTCGAATCCAAACTGGATCCAACAGTGGGACAAACCATCCAGCAGATGAAAAAGGGAGTGCGTTCTGAGATCGGAAGCGAGACATGGTCAAGCGGGAGGATTGAAGTTTCAGTTGTTTTTTGTGTTTTGGTTTGTTTGCGTTTTCTTTGCGGTTTCTAGATCTTGTCTCAAACAAATGAAAGTCCTTGAAGAACGTTTAATGTACTTGTTCATTGTGTTTTGCAAGGAACTTCTTTGTGTTTCTATTCCATTTTGGCTCAAGGACTTTCATTTGTGCGTATACATTTTTCGTTTCCCTCCCTCCCTCACCTTGTTCTCGATTCTCTATCAATATTGCATCAAAGGGTCGATCTCGCTGTTTCACCCAGTTTCTCTTATTGCTGCTCCGAAGTTTGTTTCATCTATAAAGCCTTTGTGCTCCTGGTTCTTTACAGTGCGTTGCACTTCAAAGCCGAGTGACGTGATGTCACGTTCAGTATTGTGATTGCATCTATGACAATGCACAATCGTGCATCGGTGATGTCATCTCACCCGAATGGGTTGTTGATGCCATCTGGTCAAATGGTTTCGATTGAAGTATGGTCGAATCCAAACTGGATCCAACAGTGGGACAAACCATCCAGCAGATGAAAAAGGGAGTGCGTTCTGAGACCGGAAGCGAGACATGGTCAAGCGGGAGGATTGAAGTTTCAGTTGTTTTTTGTGTTTTGGTTTGTTTGCGTTTTCTTTGCGGTTTCTAGATCTTGTCTCAAACAAATGAAAGTCCTTGAAGAACTGGCGTTTTTGGCCTGGGAATAGCATGGAGTGCATACTTTGACGATTATTCTACTATCACCCGCCCTGAGTTGGAGGCGAGCACTCACTGGGCTGTAACCACCTTGTTCGAGTTGGTTGGGCTCCTCTATGCCAAAGAGGGGCCAAAAGCTCCACCTTTCAATGCAACTTTCAGAATGCTTGGTTTAGTTGTGGACCTTCAGATGATTCCTTACAAACAATTTTTTGTGACCCATACAGCAGAGAGACGTGACGAGCTCAAGCAGTGCCTTGAGGACATTGTGCAGAAAGGTGAAATCACGTCGAAAGAAGCAGAAAGGGTCCGAGGACGAATGCTTTTCTTTGAATGCTTTGTATGCGGCAGGGTGGCCAATTTGGATCTGAAATTGTTTGGAAATCTGTGCAGATCAGGTCGCACGACCAACGTCTTGACCACTGGTGAAATTGAGATTGTGAGGCGTTTGAGTCGAAGGATAGAGACTGGTACTGCAATTCCACTTGGAATAAAAAACCTTGATACCTGGTTAATTTTTACAGACGGTGCTTGCGAAGGTGAGAGGCCTCGCGGGAGTGTCGGTGGAGTCCTGGTTTCGCCGAACCACCGCGTTGTCCATCACTTCGGAGAAACAGTTCCTGAAAACCTCATGTCTTTGTTGCTTGGTTTTTCGAGCCACCCAATCCACGAGCTCGAAATGATCCCTGTCTTCATACCCTTCCTTCTTTGGCAGCACTTGTTTGGTGGCAGCCAAGTGGTGCACTACATTGACAATGAGTCAGTCAGACTTGCGTTACTCAGGGGAAGCGGTGAGACAGAGATTGCTCGCTTAGTGGCGGCAAAAATCATGGATGCCGAATTTACTGCCGGCACCAAATCTTGGTATGCTAGAGTTGCTAGTGAAAGCAACATAGCAGACGCACCGAGTCGCTTGGATTTCAAACTTCTTGAAACTTTGGGTAGCACCTGCTTTGCTGTGGAGTGGAATCTTGTGCTTGCGAGTTGCTCACCTCTGAATGGGGGAACGTGACGGGAACTCGAAGCAATTCTCCCCGCAGAAAAAGAGTGGCGGCCTGTTTCATTCATGAATTCCTGATTTGATTCGAACGATTGGTGCGTCAGATTTATTTTTAATTTTTTTTTGTGGAACTCGGCGAACATCACGAGGAGTTGATCACTCCTTCCCGAAGGGTTCTCGGCATGTGCACGTTGATGTTTCTCATGTGCGTATGTTTGCGAGCATGTTCGTACGATACATATATACTTGTATGTGTGTACCCACATGTTTGGTTTAGTTGTTGTGAGCGTAGGCCGTTACGCGAGGTTGAAGGCTTCCACAGGTTACCCCTCTTAACCTTCTGAGGAATAAGGGTCGCCTCCGTCCGAGGTACGAGGTTAGGATAGTCCCTTTATTCCCTTTAGGTTAACTTGCCTTTGAACTCTGGTTCAAAGGCACCTTGGGGTAACTTGGAGTGTTAGCCTTCTAAACTTCCACGCGTTGTTGCGACTCACACGCCCACAAACCAAACAAACAAACAACCAACTTAAACTTGTCACAGTTTTTTTTTTAGTTGTCACTGTTTCACTCTGTTTTATTTGAAACCAGAGTACTTACAGTATCTGTTCTTATCAGACAGCAGTGCAGGTGCGTGTCGTGAGGCGGAACTGTTGTGACAACTTGTTTTTATTCTTGTGACATTTTGGTTTAAGTGGTGGGTGGGCGGGAGACCTTTTAGTTGCGGCATCCCAATTTTTCTTTCCCACCCTAAACACGTGGCGTTTTCCCAACCCTAATTGGGATAGCCTAACCCTACCGTCGAACGTGACGGGAACTCGAAGCAATCCTCCCCGCAGAAAAAGAGTGGCGGCCTGTTTCATTCATGAATTCCTGATTTGATTCGAACGATTGGTGCGTCAGATTTATTTTTAATTTTTTGTGGAACTCGGCGAACATCACGAGGAGTTGATCACTCCTTCCCGAAGGGTTCTCGGCATGTGCGCGTTGATGTTTCTCATGTGCGTATGTTTGCGTGCATGTTCGTACGATACACATATACTTGTATGTGTGTACCCACATGTCTGGTTTAGTTGTTGTGAGCGTAGGCCGTTACGCGAGGTTGAAGGCTTCCACAGGTTACCCCTCTTAACCTTCTGAGGAATAAGGATCCCGAAAGCCAAAATGGGCCCCACTGCTGATAATTTCCGTCCATTGGGTATGCCATCGACATTTGAGAGAGTCATAGACGGAAGCATCGCGACAGTCATGACCAGAGCCATTGCTCCGCTACTCCACCCCTCTCAAACGGTGTTAAATGTCTTCCGCGAACCGCAAAGTGCTGTCCAATCCGTTCAAGCTGTTCTAGACCAAGATGCACCATGCGCATGCCTGTCATTGGACCTTTCCAAAGCATTCGAGCGGATTAACCCCCACTGGATCTTGCAAATTTTATCAGCATGTAAAGCCCCCTGGTGGATCATCATGTATACCCGGCACATCCTCCTTTTTCGAAGATGCAGGCACAAAGTCCAAGGCAAGTTGTTACCCTCAAAAACGATTGTCACAGGCGTTGACATGGGTCGATCTTTTTCAGTCCTGCTTTTTTGCGTTGCCATGGATCCAGTTTTGACCTACCTTAACCGAATCCCCGGCATGCTGACAGTTCAAGGATATGTTGATGACACCACGATGGTGGGAGATACTGCAGCAGGCATGCAATGGCTCTCGGATGCCTGGCAAGCCTGCGTCCGTTTGAAATCCGCTGGCATCCAAATAGATGAACACCACTGCTGGCGAACCAGTGGGATCAATATGCATGCAGCTAGCTCTGGTCAGATCGACCAATACCCTCCATTAAACTGGGCACAAAGTTTACCAGGACATGCTACATTGCGGCAAGCCTTGGTTCACAGAGCAGGTTATAGCACCACCACCATAGTGTGCCGAGCAAATTTGTTTGTGTGTCTTACCCCAGCAGAGGTTGATTTAATATTAACCGGAGGACATCTGGCTAAAATTGACCCACTCTTCCTAGCACAGTGTAGTTGTTCCAACAAGTGCAGTGTACTGGTTAATCACCCTGCCTCCCATAGTACTCTGAATGCGCTTGAACGTTCCGACTGGGGAGCCCACCTCATTGAGGGAAAAACTACAGCGCTGGGTCTGCTCCTGTATGGTAAATATACCCGTAGTCATCAAGGGTGGACCCCAGTAGAGGAACTTATAGGCACACAAGCCATTAACCCCAAAGCCATGTCCAAAGCTAACCATCGGCTTGCCCTCTTCGCCACACCTGCTCACTCTGTAGTGCAAAGAAGCCTTGCCAATAACTGTTTTATTCTGTCCCTTAATATTTACCAAAGTACATACTTTGGCTTCACTCCGGACGACATCAATTTATACCAACAACGCTCTGCGAAACTTATTCTTGGCAGACCATGGCTGGCCGCACGGTACCTCCCACACATATTTCGGTGGTTAGGTATTGCTCCTGCACTAGACCCAGCGGTCACACTCACTGCAGCGTGCTTGGGTTATTGGCTTAGACAGAATGGCTCTACCGCCTTTCTCTCACCGGGGTACCCGGATGTAGGGACAAGGCAAGGAGCGGTTGTCCAACGCATTTTCCGCACATGGATTCCCCTGCTCGGAATTGACACAGTCGGCAACTTGTTACGCATAATTGCAGGACAAAACACCAGGAAACAACACCTCCAATTCCTCCGACAGCTGAAACTCAGACTTTACGAAGCCATCCAAGTGCATGCACTGCAATATCTACAGTCTAGAGTTAGCTTACAGCTTCTACCAGGCGGGGTATCGTGGGCTTGGTTGACCCATTTAGCCACAGTGCCTAAACTTGCTGTTAATGGGGTTGCGCGCTTTGCTGTCTTGCGGTGGGCGGTGAATGAGGATGACGATGAATGCCTGCGGCTTCGACTTGCAGGCTCGCTGCAGGCTGAGCAGCCATGCCAACTCTGTGGAATTCCTACCCGGCTGTACCCACTTGGACTCAATTTTGCCCCAGCTTGTGAGAAATGCTGCCATGACCATGATATTAATGCTACCACTCTGTACAGCGGTGAGAGATGGGGGATCCCGACCGCATCCCCCTGG